AAAATAAATAAATAATAATAAATAATAAAGAAATAATAAGAGAAATGATATAATAATAAATAAAATATATAAAAGAAAAGATAAATAAAATCAATATAATATAAATAAAATAATAATAAATATAAAGAGAAAATAGATATAAAATATAAAAATATAATCAAAATGAAAATAAAATAAAGAAATGTATTAATATATAAGAAAATATATATAAATAGAAGTGTATTAATATATAAAATAAAATATAAATAATAAGAATATAAAACTAATAAAATATGATAAATATAAAATATATAGATAATATGATGATATATATAATACAAGAATAAAAATAAATATAATAATAAAATATATAAATATATAAAAATAAAATACATAAATAACATAATAATAAAATAATAATAAAAATGTTCACTTTTGGTGAATTAAATGTCTTTTCTTTTTCATTGATATTTCAGAACAATTTATCATGAAATGATATAAAATATAAAGAAATATAAATGAATATAGAATGAGTATTTAATTTACTTTTTTATTTTTTATTTTTTTTAAGAACAAAATAATAAAAACTATTATTTTATTGATTCAAAATATTTTGCCCTTTTTTGGTATTTTTTATTTAGATTCATTATTTCTTTCTTATTTTGGTTCTCATTCATAATCATTTCATTATTTTATGTTAATATAAATTAAATGATTAAATAAAACAAATATTATTGGTATGAATAAAAATATAATACAACATAAAGAAATTATTGATAAAGAAAGAAATAAATAAATTCAATACTAACAATGTAATATAAATAATAAGAAGAATAATTAAAGAAGAAGATAAATAATAAATATAATAAGTTAGATAAGAAATGAATGATTAAAAGAAAATATTTAAAATGAAAAGAGTGATAAATAGTTAAAATAAAAGAATAAGAAATAGATATTATATAAACCTAATTAACTATTTAAAAAACATTTTAATTGTTTTTAATTAATTTTATTTCTTTAATTAAAACATTACAATAAAGACCATTTTTATTTATTTTATTTCAATTCTTTCTAACATTTTTACTACTTCTTCTATTCTTATTCTTTCTTTTGCTTCTTGTTTCCATGTTTTTTCAATAATTTCTTTAATATCTTCTTTAACTTCTTGTATTATTTTTGGTCGTTTACCTGTTGTGATTGCATCTGCAATATCCCATGGATATTTATATATTTCTTTAGGAAATGGTTCTTGCCATGTAATGATTTGTAACATTGTTATTGAATATGAATATATATCTGATTCCATTTTATAATGTTCTCGATTTAATACTTCTGGTGCCATGTATTTTGGTGTTCCTATCCCTTTTGTAAATGTCATATTTGTCATCATCATATTAATGTTTCTTGATGCTCCAAAATCTGTTAATTTACAATTAACTCCAATATTATCATCAATTGATACAACAAGAAAATTATCTGGTTTAATATCTCGATGTAGTATTCCATTTGAATGAAGATATGAAATTCCTTTTGCTCCATCTATCATGATTTTAATTCTTATTTTATTTGGTATTTCCGTGTTTGTTCTTTTATTAATTAAATCTTGTATTGATCCATATTTTGCATATTCTGTTACCATACATATTTTATTAGGAATAAATACTGCTCCATAAAAATGAATAATATATTCACTTCTAAATTTATCTAACATCATTACTTCTTTCTCAAATTCTTTCATTTTATCTTCATCTTTATCAATTTGTTTCATTTTCTTAATTGCTACTTGATTCCCTCTAAATTCTCCTATATATACTATTCCAAATGATCCTTCTCCTATTTTATTTTCTTCTTTTATTTCATCTGGATCAAGTCGTGTTGATATTTGTGTTTCTCCTTTAATTGAAATACTTTTAATTATTTCTTCTTGTGTTTTATTAAGTGTTTTACTAATTATCATTATTTGTTCTTTAATTTTAGTAGTACATTTGATTATAATGAATATTTCAAATTCACATGCATATCCTCCTTCAATTGTAATAATATTTGGTTTGATTCTAATTGAATATTTTTCATTTTCTTCTTTACTACTTATTTGTATTTTCTTTTTTTCTTTCTTCTCATTTCCAATACATATTAATTCTCTAATTTCTTTATTTACTTCAATTTCTTCTCCTTCTCCTATTTCTATTTCTTTTTTATTTGTTATTATTCCATCTCCAAGTGATATGAATTTGATATTTGATTGTGAAATTTTAAATATTGTTGTTGTTTTCTCTTGTTCTTTCTTTTCTTTGCGTTTTATAATGTAATTAATCATTATTATTATAATTATAATTATTATAATGATGATAATAAGTATAATGATGATAATTATCATTATCATCCACCATACAATTTCTTTATTACATTTTGTTCCTTCTTCATTGATTCCATACCAAAATGAACATTTTGAACATTTATTATTTTTTGTTTCTTTACATTTATTAATATTTGAATAATGAATACATTCTTTATTTATTATTATATATTCATCTTCACATGTATTACATTCTTTCTCATTTAAACATGTTATACATTTATTTCCACATTTTGAACATTCTTTATTTATTAAATAATACCCTGTTAACCATTCTCTACATCCATATTCTTTATCTATTTCTCCTTTACATCCTTTAATTGTTGTTGTTGATTTACATATTCCTGTTGAACTCATAAAATATCCTTCTCCACATATTATACATTTATCTTTTTGATTACATGTTAAACATTCTTTTTCACATTTTGAACATCCTTTTCCATTTCTATAATATCCTTTATTACATATTCCACATCCACTTCCATCTTGCAATATTTGTAAACATGTTCCATT